ATTTATAAATACACTATTATCAGGTGGAAACAATAAAGTATAAAGAACCATTTTTGAATTTATGAAGACTTATCCAAAAAGTGAAGTAATTTTTAGTAGATTAAATAATGTAATTCAGGCATAGATTAAATAAATTACAATGAAAGCTTTAGATAAAAAGAATGAAGAATAATAATAAGTGAATTTCCCTGCTTAATAATAAGAGGATAATGTATAAGAATTAAAATAACAATAAGATTTGGAATTATTATTGACTTAAGTCTTAAAATTCTTATAAAATTGTTGTGAAGGACATTATCTAGATTTATAAAACTATATTCGTTAACAAACAAATTCAAGAAATTCATATAATATGATTAATTAAGTAGCTGAATTATTACTATCATATTATTATAAAGATAGAGCCTAATATGAAAATATGGTTCTATGTTTAGATACTTTGAATGAATTAGTTTAAGGTCCATGTCCTGAGAATTAGATTGCAGTTGCTGATTCTAAATTTTTTGAAATAGCTTCAGATTTATTTGGTTAAAGAAAGGAGAAAGATAGTTCTGGAAAAGCTTAAACAATGGCATCTAATATAAAGACTTCAAAAACTTAGAATAATAAAATGATGACTGTTAAAACAAGTCGATACCAAAAATAACAAAAAGGTTCTGATTTAAAAGTTTGGTAAATTGAAAGAATGTAAACAAAATGTTTAATTTTGATTCTTTCTTTAATTGAAATGAGAGAAATATCAGATTCAAATCCAATTATCAAAAGAATTATGAGACATTTGACACCTACTTTATTATAAAAACATATGGTAAAATGTTTTGATAAATATTAAAAATAATGTAAAGAAGGTTATTAGATTGAAGTTTTAGATAGAATAAAGTAAGATCCAGAAACTGCAAAATAAGAAGATAAAGTATAAGAAGAGAAATACTATGAATTAATTTTGTAAAAAGGCTTTTATATCTATTTTTTAATGTGTTATTATATGGAATCAGAGAAAAATGTAGAAAATTAATTTGTATAAATGTATAGAACCAATACTAGAAAGAAATTAAAGTAAGATAAAGGAACATTAGAAGATTTATTATTTGGTGATAATATTATTGGTTAATTAGTGAGTTTTGTGATGTCATTTGTAAATAGTTGGATTGATTTAATGAATCAAATTAAGAAAGAAGCACAAAAATAAATGGCTACTTAAATATAGACAAGTGAATAATTAGAAAAATAAGAAAGAGAAAAAAAGGCTGAAAAAGCAAAATTGGTTAAAAAAGCATTTGATTTTTTTTATAAAAATAGTGCATCTATTGAAGTTGTTAGAAATAATGAATTGGAAATTGTTTATTTTATACTATTACCATATACTCATAATTTGCCTAAAGAATAGAAGGTTGAATTTCATGAAAATGTAGATAGATCATCAACAAAATCAAAAGTGTAATTTTTAGTTTAAGAATCAGAAAGATTAATAGAAATATGTGAACATGAAGAGTAATTAAGACGTATTTTCTAAAGATAGAAATTTCTAGCTTTATTTGCCAATTATGTTAAATTATGGAAGGATTTGGCATTTTTATTTACATTATTATTAAATCTATTTATAATAGGATCATTTGCTGTTAATGAATCAGGTAATAGAATAACAGATTTCAGATTATTTAGAGATGAATAATATTCACCACAACAAACTAGAAATATATTTTTGATTTGTGGTACTATTATGACTTGTTGTTCAATATTTGTGGTATCATTCTTTTTGTTTAAGAATGCTCCATTAATTATTAAGAAGGCTTGGAAAACAAAATTACCTTTTGAAGATAAGTTTACTTATTGGCCAATACAATTAATCTACAAAATATTTAAATTGTTAGCAGTGTTATTTTATATTCTTAAAGAAATTGAAGTTGTTTATTATTTAGCTTATGGTGCTTTAGCTGTAATAGGAACAGTATTACATCCTTTCTTTTTTAGTTTTCATTTAACAGAAATATTAATTCGTTATCCAACTTTAAAGAATGTTATTAGATCAGTTTGGGAACCTAAATAATAATTAGCACTTACACTGGTACTCTTTATAATTCTTGTTTATGTTTATGGACTTATTGCCTATACATTCTTTTTTGAAGATTATGCTGGGAAATGCTAATCTACATTATTTTGTTTTCTATTTACATTTGATTGGACATTTAAAGCTAATGGTGGAGTTGGAGGATACTTATCAGATTTAGAAGATGAAAATGTAGTTGAAAAGTATCGTGTAGGTAGATTTGTATTTGATAACACTTCAAATATTTTCTTAGTAATTATCATGGTTAATATTGTGGCAGGTATTATTATTGATACATTTGGGTCTTTGAGAGAAAAAGAAAGTGATAAAATTAGAGATATTGAAGATAAATGTTTTATTTGTGGAAATCTTAAAACTATATTTGATAGATTAACAGATACATCATCAATGGGTGGAGGTTTTGATCACCATATCAAAGTTAATCATTATATGTGGAATTATGTTTTTTTTATGGCATATCTTAAATACAAAGATCCAACAGATTATACTGGTATTGAATAATTTGTTTGGGAAAAAATATAAAAAAAAGATTTAACATGGTTTCCATTCAATAAAGCTAGAGAATTATAAAATCTTAAGTAAGATGAAGAAGAAGAATCTAAAAAAGTTGAACGTATATCTACAGATGTATTATTTTATTAATATATTTAGATTGGTAATATTATGGATTCTATGAGATAAGCAAGTTAAATGTTAAATTCTATTAAAAATAGAAAAAAATTAAGAAATGCTGCCAAATAACCTGCTGAATTGCTATGAAAATAATCAAATTAATTATGATTCAAAATACAAAACTATTTTACTCTCTAATTTCAATTCTGATTTTAAACTATTAATAAAATCCATAGATGAACAATCCAATATAAATCTTTCAATTGAATCCATTTAATTGAATATTTTTAATGCTTGATCAATTTCTTCTTTTTCTATATTTATACCCTTTAAATCCAATGACAAATGTTTCAATTACTTTAATTTTTATAAACCAATACAGAAGTTTCCAAAATGTAAATTTTATGTTCTAATCATTTTAAATCTATTTTTACTTATTTAATATCATTGTAATATATTTTACTTCAGCAAAATTACCAAGTAATTGTAATAATTTATCTAATTCTTATTAATCTATTTATTAATTATATAGATTGATTTTAACTGATAAAATTGTAGATTTTTAAATGAATTATTAAATACTTTGTAATTTTTCTTATGTAATCTCATTAATTGTTAGATAAGTAATCTAAGTTTTCTCTTATTGATTTAAAATAGTTGATTAAAATTTAATTATTGCTGTCTAATTGGCTAAAAAATACAATTCTCTAATATCTGCTCTTTAATGTGCTTATTATTTAAGACTCAACATAATTATTTCTGCTATTACATCACTTACCTATATTAAATGTATTAAAAATACCCATATAACATCTATACTTAATTTGCAAACTTATCAACTTGATAACATGAATGAATTCCATCTAATTCTTTATTTGTACATAGTAGAGCTGCCTTTAAAATACAAACTCCGAAATGCCAACTATCAATCAACCTTCCATTTAATTATTATTATTAAAATTATTAACTTATTTTCTCAGGAGGATAATAGACAATATCAAACTCTTATTCACTACTTAAAGCATGTCCTTCTAATAAATATTTTTCCTTATATTTAGCATTAGGCTCTTAAATGCTTGCTAATTTTACAATGTCATTATTGATAATTATGGAAGTGGCTAAAATTCTGTTTGGAAATATATTTCGTTTATGCAATTGAATAATTGCTTATAAGATTCTCTATATAATATTTAACAACTCATCTAAATTAAAAGGCTTATTTTTATTTTTTCGATCTCTAATAACTTCATCTAAATTTTATCCCTCATATTCTTCTATTGAAAATATCTTAACTGCCTCTCCTCTAACATATTAAGGTTAAAAATTAATAAAAATGTTGGGTTTTTTACTAACTTTTGGTTATTTCACTGAGCCAAGCATACTATCAACAAAGTTAGATTTAGGTCTTATATAAAATATAGAATTCACTTAAGTGAATAAACTAAAGTCCAAAATATTTAAATGAGCTTTCATATATTATGAAAAGAGGGAATCACTTTAATGCTACATGACGTAAAACTTATGCAAAATTATTTTTTTTCCGTTTATACTATATAAAGTAGTTTTTCCAAATTAGGCCTTCTTTAGCACTTTTTCTTATTTTAAATATTTTAGTATATCAGTTTTTGAATTTACTTCTTTTAATAATTCTTATTGTCTTATTGTATCAACTCCTTCTCTAAGAAAATCAAGCAATAATTTATGATTAGGAGGAGGAGATTTAAGAAGTTATTGAAAATATTCTCCTATCTTTTATTCACGTTGTTTAATCACTTTATTTTCTCCAAACAATGTCTTTAAATATTCCTTTTTTGGAAATTGAGGAAGCTATGTTTAATAAATAAATACTTAATAATTCATATTGTATTCTTGCATAGCATTATGAAGATCTAGTAAGAGACTATATCTAACTCTGATTTCTCTCTGATCGAGTGTAAAAAGATCGATAATGCGAATTCTATATAAAACATTGTCTGTTATATTCTCATAACCCATTATCTTAATTTCATACTGCATTCCTTATGTATTTTAACAATTTAATTATATTGTATTAAAATTTAATAAGTCAACTTTTTATTTAATTCTATAAAATACCTTCAAATTATTGTATATTTTTGTTCCTTAATTTATACACCTTAATAATATAATAATAGAATCTAAAACAATTTCTTAATAAACATAGAAATTACACTATAAATATTAATGTAAACATATATATTCAGAATATCTTTTAAACATATATATATATATTCTGAATTATGTGTAAGTTTTCTTATTTGATGCTATTTTATAGTTGATTTTAATATGAATTTTATTATTAATGAGCGATATTATTGTCAAAAGAAGAGAATAATTTAGAATAGAAATTCGTAAATAAAATCTAGAAAAAGAATTTAGCAAGAAGAGATTTGAAAAATGTAATCTTATTCAGAATCTAAATGAATGCAACAATTTAATCGATTTTGAATTTAAATACAAAGATCAAATTGAGAATCAGATTTAGCTTATTCTTCAAAACCCTGACAATTAAAACTTATAAAAACTTATATAATTAGTATAGCAATTAAGTTCAAAATACAGTGTTTACATAATAGATCATAATATTTACAAAACACTTAAACACAATGATTTAGACATTAATTTGTGTTTGAACTTAATGTGTAATTTATGTATTGAGCCAACAGTAGTTAAACATATCTTCTCTGATCAGATCTAAAAAGAGAGATTAACCTAATATTTAAACCTAATTAGTGCCAATTTATATGAAGAACATAGAAAGCTTTATTGGGAATTCATGCTTATTCTGTCAAGTTCAGCACATACACCTTTTCCATTTCTGAAATAAGTGTTTTTGATATGTTGTGAGGAATTGATTTAATGTAGAAATAACACTATTTAAATGTAAATTCGCATTCTTCCACATTTAATACAAAAATATCCATAAGCCAATTAATTCTATTGGGATGCCTTAAATACTTCTAATACTGAGGATAGGAAACCTTGGAAATGTTTATTGCATTATCTTAAGTAACCTAATTCAGATGTATTTTGTTGTGATTAATTAATACTCGCAATATATTATTTAGTTTAACATGCAATTCAAAAAATGTACTATGATTAAATTGTTACTTCAGAACTAATGTTTGTTCTTCAAAGTAATTTATATAGACATGAAAAAACAATGGTTAGATCTACTAAATTAATATTTATGATTTTTGAAGAAAATGATACTTACTTTAAATTTATAAGTGATGATTTAATCAAATTACTTAAAATTACTTTCATAGATGGACAGATTGAAATACTAAAACTCTTAGAAATAGTTCTTCGCAAAAGATAATATTTTATACAGCTTATGGACTAATATAATATAATAGATATATTATTTGATATTCTACGATAGAAGATATCAACAACCATGAATTATACAATTTTAAATTGCATTGCTTTATCCTTATTTTAATGTACTTAAATTGATAAATATTAAAAACATATCCAAACTCAGTATTCTAATTTTAAGGATATTTTAGAAAGATTTGTTTATGACAAAAATAAATCTATCTAATAAACTACTGAATATCTCTTAACTGCCTACTTTGAGAAATGAATATTTTTGTATATATTTAAATTATATAATTTCAAAACTGATTTTTTGATAGCAAATTTTTGATAGTTAATAATGATGATAATCATAAATTATATACAAAATTAATTCATTAATCTTATGGCTTAATATTCTAGAAAAGGGAATTCAGATTCTAATTTAATTATTAATTAATCTATTATGTATTGTAAGAGAGATTGAATTGAGGGTTTGGCTATAATTATTAAATTTATGGATATATTTATTATGTGTATAAAGGCTATTGCATTTATTGTTATGGAAAAGCCTGTTAATTTTATATTAATTATTAATATTATTATTATTATTGCATTTACAATTACATTTGTTATTAAAGAAACATTTGTTAATAATATTGCTATTATTATTACATAGAATTCTGAATTTGCATCATTTACTATTATTGTTATTGTGGTTATTAATTATTAACCTAAACTTTGTTATTTTATTAAAGAAATGGTAATTATTTATCATGCTTTTATTATTTATGATGTTTTTCTTTTTTATTATTATTTTTCTTCACTTCTCCTTCTTCTTTATTTCCTCTTTTTTTAGATACAGCTTCAATTTCATCATCTGAATATTCAACATCATGTTCATTAAGGACTTCTTCATCAAATTAATTAGAAGCATCACAACCTTTTTTACTTTTGATAAAATTAAAAATTACTTAAGCAATTATCTAATGGCTTCAGGATCAAGAATAGAAGTATTATCTATATTAATGAAGACATTATCTCCAATTTTAAGTTGATTAGTTTAAATTAGATTGTTTACATATCCATCCAACAAAATTGAATAATGAGGTCTTTCAACTTTACCAAAGACATCATCAACCTTTCCTAAAATCTCTTATTAATCATTAACTAATAATTAATCTAAATTGATGACAAATTCCAAAAGATTGGAATAAATGATTATATTTTCTCTGGTAATTGATTCAATTTTGCCAACCAATTGGATTCGATCTGAATGTTTATAATTGAAGTTGATTTCTCTCTGTTCTTTGGTTTCTGGAGGAGCAAATTAAACTTTTGGTAATACCTCATTTTTGCTTACAATTCTTGAACTCTTTTCTTCATCTTCCATGTTATTTAACTTAATTTAGAAATGTTAGTTACTTAAGCTTTGATTTTTTGATAAAATTCATCACTGCTAGAATCACTATTTTCATGATCGTCCATTAAATTATAATTATTATACATATCACATTTCAATTTCTAATTAATTTGGTGGGTTGTTTTACTATTGCTCTCTATATTATTCCACAAAGTAATTGTATCTTTGTCTCCCGAGATCAAAAAAGTTAGTTACAGTCAACATCAATATCATAGCCAAATAATAATTAAAACACTCATACAAACGTTGAAAGAGATCAAAACTTTCAAAAAAAGGGTATTGTGAGAAAAGTAAGAAAAATAATATAAAACAAGTTGTTGATCCAATATTAATATAAACTATAATGGGATAATTCTAGAAATTATTAATATATAATATTTACAGTATTGTGTAGAAGTAGCACTTTAAAATTTACAATAAATACAACTGCACTCATTATTGTCATTCCAGCTTCTAAGTAGGTAGAATTCTATCCATGAACATGTGGGGAAATAGGTTCAAATGCATAAAATGAAATCACCATCAATAATATTGCTTATAACAAACCCCATAAGAATTATTGCCAAAAGGACACTAAATTAAAGATAGGCTTTGTCAAATACTCCCTGTAAATATCTGGTCTAGATTCTAAGAAATTAGCCTTATCCTAAACTAATTGCATATAATTTGAATTTGGATATTTCTCATCAAATAGAGCATATAGAATAATAGGTAAACTTGTAAAAAATACATTAAAAATTTAAGACAACCATTAATCATATAGATTTTGACCACTAAATCCATTTGAAAAACCAAAAAAGAAAAAAGCTCCAATATATAATTAATTCTTGTAAAAGTTAAATAGAATTAAATTGCTGTTCTTCCTATAAGATTCATGTCCTGAATAAAACAATAACCTTCTTAAATGTTTAAATTCTCCTATAGCATAATCACTAGCCTTTGCTGCCTACTACCCTTCTAAACCTCTAATTCCTATACCAACATGAGCCTAAGTAATCATAGCAACATCATTTGCACCATCACCAATAGCTAAAGTTATTTTGCCAGTCAATCGTCTAACTAAATTTACAATTTCTTATTTTTGCTTAGGAGAAACTCTACAAGCCATAACAGCATTTGCCTTTAAAGCTACTTTAAAGAACACTTCTTTAAAATTGTGTATAATGATAACAAGAGCTACTCCTGATACTATTAATGATAAAGGTTCATCAGGATGATCATTAATGTAATTAGTAACTTTAGCTAATTATCTTTCAACTTATCCTTCTACATCTCCATCTATTATAAATCGTTTAACTTAATCTGTCAGTAATTTGCATGAAAAACCAATGTTAATAGCTGTTTCTATTTTATCTCCTGTCAAAACCCATACATTAATTCCAGCAGATTTTAAATCAGCAATTACTTCTCCAACTTTATCTTATAATTTATCTTCAATTGCTGTTGCACACAATAATTATAAATTATTTTCAATCATTTCTTCTAGTTGATTCATCAATGATTCTCTTAATTAATCATCATCTAAAATAGATTATGCTCTGTTATATTCAGATAAAAATTTTTCATATTCTTTCTACTCCAATTCTTTATATCCTAAAACTAAAGTTCTTAATCCAATTGTAGCATATTCTTGTAACTGTTTTTTAATTTCAAATAAGATATTTTTCTAAATAGAATCATTTTCATCAAAATCTTATAACATTGATAAAATCACATTATCAGCTCCTTTACAAAATAAGGTCAATCTTCCATTTTAATCTTTTAAAACTATTGACATTCTCTTTCGAGTACTATTGAATTCTATAATCTATTAAATTTGAAACTTTAAGGTTTCCTTACTATGTTTAATATAAACCTTCATTATATTGTCTTCTTTACCAATATATTTAAATCCCATCTCTGCTGCAAAACTGACCAATGCTAATTCATCTGGAGAACTAGCATTATATTAAATTTCTGATTCAATATTTTCAACTAATTCTGTTTATATTGTATGACATAAAGATAAACATAGGAGAGTTAAGAATATATGATCATTATTTGAGAAATTCTTAGCAGATTTTTTATTCATGAATTCAGATACTAATTCAGAATATAGGGTGTCATCTGTAAAATCTACATTTTATGATACTATTCTCTATTTTTCCTTAAAAGGCTTTTCATCGATTATTTCTTATTAAGGTTATTCCTCAATATCTCCATAAACAATATCATCAATAATAATAGATTTAAATTTCATTATGTTTTATGTCAATGTTCCTGTTTTATCACTAAATATATATTCAATAACTCCTAATTCTTCACTTAAATTTGAGGAATGAACAGCGGCTGGTCGATCAAATGTTAAATAATTCTTATCCCATTATATCATTTAAGCTTAAAAGAATTTAACTGTTTCTAAAGTAACCAATAATGAAATTGGAACACTATTACCTAACAATAAAAACCACATTGCAAATCTTAATATAAAATTGTAAAAGGAATTATTCTCTGGAGCATTTTAATCAATATTCAAATAAGATTGTAATTCATTCACATTTCTTTAGTACCATACATTATAATATGTTGATGCAAAAATACATTCAAACAACAAAAATAAGAATACCCATAAAATTTACTTGCTCATCAATTTCTCAACTGTACTATATTTCATCTTTCCTATAATAGAATTCATCATTATTTTAGTATCATGACCTGTATAAACAGTAACTGCTAAAATCCAATCAGTATTTTAAAGAGAGCATCCTCTTTCTAAAAAATTTTCATAATTTAATGGTTCTTTTGGTTATTCTTTATTTTCATTAACAATATTGAAACTTCCCTTAAATTTATACATAAGAGGATTTTATCTTTCAAAATCCATAGTCACAAATCTAAGATATTTTATTTCAAAATTACAAATTATAAGGTAACTCTTTCTCATTTAATTATCTGTATAATGTTTGCAATTATGGATGTGCATATTTAGGTTTGAGATTAGTTTCACCATCTAGATTTTTAGTTTCAACAAAACATTCTCCTCCTTTTGAAGTTGCTAATATAATAATATCAGCAGGAATTCTCTACTCTTAAGTTAAAATCAAACCTATTTATTTGCAATCCTTATAATGTCTCCAACATAAACATTTTACCATTTGTCATATTCGAAGACTCCTGTCCGAAGTGAATATTTCTATACAGTTCGATTGTTTTCTTCATCATCTGCTCGGTGTCTAATGGTGATGATTAAGGTACCTTTTAAAGTCTTCAAAAAAATCCTTGATCATGCTGACCATAATAATGAATGAAAGGGGTAAATAAACAGTTGGTTGTCCATCAGTAGTTGTGACTGGAGGTAGGATTTAACTAAATTGAATTCAAACTGATTACAAAATGCCTAAAAGCAAAAAGTACAAATTAGATGCTTTCCTAAATTATTCTAATGAGTTTTTGGGTAAGAATGTGAGCATATTATACTTAGAAGTCTCTACTCTATTATTGGGAATATTTTTATCTGCGGTACCAATCAGAATCTAAGAATTTAAATACTTATTATACTTTTCTGTCTGGTTGTAATTCCCAAGGAGCTCTTCTTTTGCAACAGCAAGTTCTGATTTAGTTTTCATTCTGATGCTTTCTGTACTCANCAATAAAAACCACATTGCAAATCTTAATATAAAATTGTAAAAGGAATTATTCTCTGGAGCATTTTAATCAATATTCAAATAAGATTGTAATTCATTCACATTTCTTTAGTACCATACATTATAATATGTTGATGCAAAAATACATTCAAACAACAAAAATAAGAATACCCATAAAATTTACTTGCTCATCAATTTCTCAACTGTACTATATTTCATCTTTCCTATAATAGAATTCATCATTATTTTAGTATCATGACCTGTATAAACAGTAACTGCTAAAATCCAATCAGTATTTTAAAGAGAGCATCCTCTTTCTAAAAAATTTTCATAATTTAATGGTTCTTTTGGTTATTCTTTATTTTCATTAACAATATTGAAACTTCCCTTAAATTTATACATAAGAGGATTTTATCTTTCAAAATCCATAGTCACAAATCTAAGATATTTTATTTCAAAATTACAAATTATAAGGTAACTCTTTCTCATTTAATTATCTGTATAATGTTTGCAATTATGGATGTGCATATTTAGGTTTGAGATTAGTTTCACCATCTAGATTCTTAGTTTCAACAAAACATTCTCCTCCTTTTGAAGTTGCTAATATAATAATATCAGCAGGAATTCTCTACTCTTAAGTTAAAATCAAACCTATTTATTTGCAATCCTTATAATGTCTCCAACATAAACATTTTACCATTTGTCATATTCGAAAACTCCTGTTCGAAGTGAATATTTCTATACAGTTCGATTGTTTTCTTCATCATCTGCTCGGTGTCTAATGGTGATGATTGAGGTACCTTTTAAAGTCTTCAAAAAAATCCTTGATCATGCTGACCATAATAATGAATGAAAGGGGTAAATAAACAGTTGGTTGTCCATCAGTAGTTGTGACTGGAGGAAGGATTTAACTAAATTGAATTCAAACTGATTACAAAATGCCTAAAAGCAAAAAATACAAATTAGATGCTTTCCTAAATTATTCTAATGAGTTTTTGGGTAAGAATGTGAGCATATTATACTTAGAAGTCTCTACTCTATTATTGGGAATATTTTTATCTGCGGTACCAATCAGAATCTAAGAATTTAAAAACCTATTATACTTTTCTGTCTGGTTGTAATTCCCAAGGAGCTCTTCTTTTGCAACAACAAGTTCTGATTTAGTTTTCATTCTGATGCTTTCTGTACTCAACTATATTCATATATATAATATTAATTGAATATTCTTGTATACAATACACATCAATTTCATTATAATA